TGCATCTTTGCATCCTCATTCCATCCTAGGCATTCTTAGGCCTAGTTTAAGGCATCTTAATAAGGGTATTGACGTAGAACCACACCGAGGCAAATTAGGAATTAAGTTATTATTTTCCAACTGTGTAGGTTAGTGTGTGTTCATTCTGTAACTGTAGGGTTGGCATCCGAGGACGCTCTAGCTGGTTATAGCCCAGTGCTCTGTGAGTAACAATGTTGTAAAGATATGTTCAATTGAGATTATTTTCTGAACAAATGACCGTACTGTTTTATGAAATGACATTGTTTACTGAATGAATGTTTGTCCTATTTGTGAACTGTATTCGTGGCATCCATAGCAACTTACTGTTACTGAACTGTTACTGCTACTGTTACAGAGATCTCTGTAGGTTTCCATGTTTGGAACCACTACTGTTTACTGATATGATGGCCATCATTGACTGCTCGGTCTGTTAAGACCTACTGTACTGTTTTGCTATTAGATGTACCACATATGACTATTATAATTTCTGAATAACTGTTATGGCATGAATTATACGCCACAAACTGAATGACTGATATACTGATAAATGACTGTTTTCAATACTGAAAGGATATTCATTCCTAACCTTTTTACGCATATGTTATTCACTAGTCTTTAGCTTACTGTTTATATATATATGTTGGTGTTCAGGCACCGAACCAGAGTTAGGAGCGTCGGATTAGCTCTTGTTTTGTCAAGTCAACCATCGTGCCTTACCTTGAGGTTCCAAGTGCTGCCAAGCTAAGGCTGCTTCGGGGTGTTTTAGATTTTTCCCTTTCTGTCTTTGTTATGTATAGACTGTTACTGTACTGTTTTGGTAGTGCCTTGGTCCCTAACCCAAATGATTGTATATGAATGTACATGCACTGTTTATGTGAATATGTTTTAAAAAGTCTTTTTGCATACAGACTGTCACTGCTCATTGGACATCTTTAATTACTATTTTGGCTTTCCGCCAGCCCCTGTACTCTGTATTATTGTCATTACTGTTAAACAGGCCTTCGGTAATCTTGGATTACTGGCCGGTTACGGTGCTAAACCCATAGGGACGGGTTTGGGTCGTGACAGAGTAGGCCTTCTCGGGCCCACTCACTTATGACATCCTGCTCTCATGTGAATGTGTAACTTTGTTCGCAATGGTTGCGCACAAGTAAGTAGGAAAGCCATAGAAAGTCATTTGTATTGGCGCATTTAGTCCACTATGATTTTTGTGACTAGATATGTGTAAGGGTATGATAGCTAAGCCTCAATCTCGACACATTTATGGATTACGATACGCATCTGAGTCAAGACTATTTGATCTCCCATTAGTCAAAAGTTTTGAGATGATTTTTGACATTGCACATATGAGGTCGAGATCAATTAGATAAGATTTTTTGTGCTTTTAGTTTTGATCAAGGCGGCGAGTATCTATTTGAGTTTTTTTTAGAAAGTTCTGTGAAGAGAAATGGATGCTTGGAAAATTGATTATTCCTAGTACTCAACAACACAATGGCGTAGTAGAGATAATGAATTAAGTATTGTTAATGTTAGATGGATGATGGCGCAAAAATGTTTCATAATTGGGAATTGCACTTTAGTTTGTTGCCTATATCCATAACTAAGTGCCCTTCATATCAAATTTTACACTCCATTTATGTAATGGGTTAGTGGAGAGCCATCTATGGGCGATCTGTAACCATTAAGCAACTTATCTTTATTTTTACTTCTCATAAGGTTACGAAGTTAAAACCTAGAGTTCTATGGCGCATTATTGTATGTTGTCTTGTAAACACATAGGGTCACGAGACGCATTATTGTATGCTGTCATGTAAACCCTCCGAGTCATGTGCATATAGGTAAGCAGCTTTGTGGAAGTGTAACTAAGTCACATAAAGTTTTATTAGTAAAGGTGACGTGAATAGAGTTTTTGGAACTCTATAAGATAGAGAATTTTAAGCATAGCGCTCTATGTAGCCTAGTTGAGAATGAAAAGAAATTTCCAATATCCTAGGGACAGTGGGAGCGATGTGCCTACTAATGGATTACTCCATTAGAGAAGAATACTCTACATTCTTAGTTGCGTGGTAGCGAATGTGAAAATTTTCCACGTCATCACTGGGTGATTGAGAAGGAAACATTCATGATTGCTCCGCAAGATGATAAAGAGCCTAGGATAATACCAAAGGCTCTAGTCCCCTGTTTTTAGAAAGTGGATTAATGTTGCGCAGTTTAAGACAAAGTCTTTGAGGATTAACCATTTCTATAATTTGGTTGACTTTCCATTATGACGCAAAACTATTCTTAAGTTATGCGTAATTTGAATAGTCATTGTTGAGGCATAAGGCTCGCTAGATACCGAAAATTCGCACCATTAAGGAAAGTGTAGACCATGAGAAGACTTCCTCCTGGGGAGTGAGGTTATTTTGACTTGGGCTATGATTGACATAAGTTCGGAACATTGATTTGTGGACATTGTGACCCAACTTTCTCGTTAGAGAATTAGATAAGTAGATCCATAGGGATTTACCTTCTGCTTTTATGGTAAAAAATTAGGAGTGCAAAAAGGTTGCTAGTTCCAATAAATCTTTTACAGCCTAAAATAGTTATCCATATAGTGGTTCTTAGATTTCGTCAAGCCATGATAGGCCAACGATGATCGATGAAGACCACTGAGGCATGATCAATGGTCCAAAAGAAGTTTTTCCTTACTTAGTCATTATGAGCCAAGAATTTATAAGGTTGTCGCCACCTAGGGTGGACGGTCCTCTGTTTTAGAAATGATGGACATGGGTGATGTAATTTATATGCTCGGATGTACGATCTTTAGGGATTGTTTTGGGAGAATTCATGTTTTGTCTTCGATAACTTACATAAGGAATATCCTAGAACTATTCTAGATGCAAAATTGCAAACCCATTGACTTACCTATCGGTAAAAGCCAGAGCCTTAACTATTGAGTGAATCCTCGGATTGTCTTTGGGAGAAACAGATGACCTATATTCCTTGATCTTTTCTTTGTTGTGGGAGTCTAAAGTATGCTATATGGGCGTATTCGGCATGATAAGTGTTATCTTTGGTAAATGGTCAACTAAGTTGTTTAGACATTGACCATGCTCATTAGATTGCTGATAAAATGCTTTACTAGTAGCATATTAATTTGCTCCTTGTAAGATTCAATGCGCTAGTTGGGCGCATCAAGAATGAACGCAAATTGGTCACCAAAATATCTTTAGAGAGGTTATTGCGTAAGAAGTAGTGATCTTAAATCGCTTCATGTGAGGCGCACATGGTGGATTCCGTTGTATATACTTATCGCAAGAGGTGCTGATAAGGCTTACGTTTGGATTCTAGAATTGCGCAAGCTGTGGTCAATTTTTTTTTAAAACCGATCACTTATTTTGAGATAATGGGATGTTGACACTATTATGGTTTATGTCATAATGATTAGCAGATGATGATGTCAGCAGGCAAGATTGGCTCCCTCATACGAGCAATCGCCCTTGGCGCTTGGGAGCGAGCAAGGATGAGACTAGTGGTTTATTTTTATTTGGAGCCAAGAGAGGCTTAAAATTATCCACTATGTATGTCACCTTGGTTACAACCAAGATGATGTCATGTTAAGGACCAAACATGGATGTTAGTACCCACTTTCCATGTTGTGCCTGTTATGATTAGCCAAATGCAAGATCTCATTTGGCGCTTAGAAGGCGAGCAAATAGAGAATTCGAGTTAGGCGCTAGAAAGCGACTAGACTAAGATCTGTACGGTGTGTCGAGTATGACGTCACTCTTTTGGAAGAGTTACTCCACCGTAACATGTATTCATACTATATGTGCTTGGCGATCGAGTAATGAGGTGAGAGAATGGATCCCTGTTTCCTCACCGTGTGAGTCTTACATTTATGTACCATTTTGTGACTTTTGACTATGTCATAAGGTAAGGGGTTGATGTTCTGCTACTTTGGTATGTTGCCTGCGGTCATGTATGATTCGGCCTTAAAGGACATCACTGGGAAAACGGTCAATTATAAACTAAATGGCATGAGGGCAAAGGGAAGATCATCTAGTATTACACCACTATTGTATATTCACTGCCGGCAACTCACATCGCTCTGTATGAGAGGCGGATTGAGTGTGAATATATTGCAAGAATTGAAATGGTCAAACATGCTCTTTTTTGAGGGATTAGAGATGTTTTTTGGACCGGTGTAATTAGATGGGTCTGGAGTATATGAGACACTATTTCTGTTCTTTTTGGGTTGCTGGCTCATTTTGAGTTTCTAGTATAGAGCTCCCGCATGCAGGTGTTCTCAGCAGTCGCACGGTGCAGTGGCTAGTATGAGATTGTTCATTTTTTGGGGAGATTGAGATAGAGATGTGGCAGTGTCATGCCAACTCATGTCCGAGTGGGAGATGTTAGAAATTGGGTGCTCATGTGGCATGACCCTTTGAACCTTTTGAACCTTATCCATGTAAGTTTGAATTTGAATTCAAAACTTACTTGGATAACCACTCAGGATATCCACATTTATCATATCAACTGATATGGATAGATGAGATATTATCCTATATATCTAATATGATATGGGATATGGGTGATTAAGAGAAAAACAACGTATGTCGTATATTTTTCCCACATACTGACTCTCTCCCAAAATACAACGATCAAGAGCCATTTTGCACTGTGACTTGTGTGGGTGATATTCATTCTGTAATATCACTCTATTGCTGGGTTGATTGATCAGCTTCAGGAAGCACGTGATTTACCCTCGAGATCCTTCAATTCAGACTCTGTAGAAAAAGGTATGACCATAATTTTTCATTCGCTGCGTTTTACCTTAGATTTACATTATTGATATAATTTCATATGAAATATATGGTTTTTCATCAATAAATGTTCTTTTTGCTAATAATTTTTTTATTGTGATTAAATTAACATAATATTAAAAAAATAAAACACAAAATTGATATAATTAAAACTACAATAACTTAATTAACATGAGGAGCAAATTACACAAGCACGAGTTTAAATTGTAAACAGAATTTAACTACTAAAATTTTATGCAGATTAATATGACCCTATACTATATATATATATATATATATTAAAATTCCATTTGTAAGTCATTTTTCAAACTCAAAATTAATCGAAAAATATTTCAATGAGAAGGTGCAGAAATAGTTATCTTTAAAACAGAGGATGATGATGAATCGTGATCAGTTCGCAGTGGCGATGGGAACAAGGCAAGCAGGAACACACCGTTCGCCGCCGCTGCGATAGCTCCGACCACAAATGCTGGCAAGTTACCGCCGCCGAAGAGCTGATCCCATGGTCCGCTTGTAAGTGAAACCACCAACTGTTTCAGCATTAGGTAGCTAAGATTAGTTTTTGTTGACAGGGGGCCGGGCCAGCCCTGTGCATAGGCCTATCAAGCCATGGCCTAGGGCCCTCAAAATAGATCTAAAAAAGAGATCCTTTTCTATTATAATTTAGTGTAATATATTAGGTAGGTTTTAAATCAAAAAAAATTAAAGCATGCCCACACTAACTTAAAATAAATTGACCCATTCAAAAATTAAAAGGCTCATTCAAAAAAATTAGCATTGTTATCTATTGACTATAGACCGAAAAAAGGGCTTCCCTCCTATTATAGTTTAGTATAATATATTTGGTATGTTTTAAGTAAAAAAAAAAAATTAAAGAAGGCCAAACTAATTTAAAATAATTTGACTCATTAAAAACATTAAAAGGCCCATTTAAAATAATTAGCATTGTTATCCATTGAAAATGATTTTGCAAAAAAACTAGATTATGCAAGTATGATTGATTTATTTACTTCTAAAAATGTAAGAAGAGTGAGAATCAAATGATACTTATTAGTTGTTATAATGTAATGCTAAGTATTTTTTGTGATTTTTACACAAATCTTTTGTCATTTACCTTCAATTTTTTTTTTTATTCAATGAAAACAAAATATAAAGAACCCCAAAAATTTATCAATTAATTATTGGTTTTGGGCCTCAGAAATCTAAGGACCGGGCCTGTCGAGAGCCCTAAGATTGGGTATATTTATGATCTGATCCTACAAGTCAACTCGGGAAGGATGTTGAGGAATTCACCCCTCACTCCCCAATTTCAGTCAAGGACTATAAGGAGGTTGGTATAAGTTTCGAATCTGAGACCTTTGATCACGCAAACTGTTACCTTACCAACTCATTCAATCATTGAGTTACTAAGATTAGTTTAGTGCCCATTGAACAAGTTACCTCAGCTACAAGTCATATATATCATATCCATGCAATAATATTAGTAAGTGGTGGAAAATTTTTAAAAAACAATATGACATTTATTTTATGAGGACTTGACCAGAAATTCCACTGAAAACAAAATAACCAAGCATTGACATCATCAAAATAAAATAAAATAAATATTATAAAAAGAGAGAGGATAACGCTTCCTGTTTTGGTTGGAAAGAAAAATAGAAAAAATAAAAAAGAAGGAAAGCATGAATATAATGTGGTATTTGAATCAATGATTTGAGAAGGTATTTTGAGGGAGGGAAAGGAAAAAGAAAGAAAAATGAATAAATAAAAGTTAATTTTTTTTAATTTTTCCTTTTCTCCAAAAATTTTCTTTTAAAGTTGTATCCAAACACAGCATAAATGTATTCATAAAATATATGATTTTTTTTTTTTTCAAGTTAGTTTTAGTCCTAAAGAGCCTCTACCTAGGATTTCCATTACAAATCTCAAAATGCTTAAATATACCATTTTTCTTCATTTTTTAAATAAAAAATAAAATTGATTTTTTACCCGAAATGATTACAGAAAGCGTGGAGTTAAAGCAACTCCGATAATCATTTTCACAGTAATACTGTCAAGGGGATTTTTAGGGAATGTTTGGGCCTCGAATGGTTGAGATCGAACGCTTTGAATTTTTTTTATTATTATTATTTGTTGGTCTGTATTGGTTTGGTTGTTGCTTTTTTATTTTTATTTTTTTTAAAGGTGATTATGTGTAAGGGTGCATTAAAAAATTAGACATCTTGCACCCACTCAACCTGTGTAGTTTGATAAGGTAAGTGAGTTGGATTGGACTAGTTGAATGATAAAATTGACTAATCAGTTAGGAATAAAAATATAGCAGAGACTCGTACAAAATTATATGAAACTAACAAATTTTAACCGACAGCTTAACTGATTAATCAATTTTATCACCCAACCAATCTAACCTAGGCTGAGTTGGAGCAAGATGTCCAACCTTCCCGAAAAAAAAAGCAACCAAACCAACACAGCCTAACAAAAAAATAAAAAAAAATAAAAAAATAAAAACACAACCCAACAATAAATAAATAAATAAATAAGAGGAAAAGAGAGAAATTGTTGAGGCATTCGCGCCTTGAAAATTCAAGGCCCTTAGCACTGTCAGGAATTTTAATATACAAACTTTTAAAATGATGTATTATATATAATTTTAGTTATGACATTATTTTAATTATGATTTCTGAGATTTTTAGTTATGTCTCATGTTGTATTTAGTTATGAATTTTTTTTTTAATTATGACTCAAAAAATATGAAATTATGTTATTTTTTTCTTTAATTATAAGATATATATGATATGTAATCTTCAAAAAAAAACATATACCATAGTGTTTTCTTAATATCAAAGTTATAATTTGACGTGCTACGAGATTCACTCCTATATATTTTGACAATATTGTTTATTGGTGCAACTGTCATTTTGCTTCCAATGCCAGGTTGTGCAAAAATAAAATTTTATAACAAATTTGGAAAGTTTTACTCCTACATTATAAAAATAATCTCATTCTCTGATGACTGAGATGTCAGTAGTGAGATAACTCAAAATTATAAATTATTAATGTTATGCTATAAATATTATGATATTATTATGAGTGATGTCATAAATATTACAAATTATTTTGATGGGAAGTGTTGTGAATTTTTTGTGAGAAGAAAATGTAATAAATCATTACAAAAATGTTTTGATTATGTCATGTATATTGTGAGAGGGTACATATTATATCTCATTTTTAAGGGATTGTGCATCACAATTATCAGTTAAATTTTATATGAAATTTGATACAAATTTCATAATATTATTTTTTTAAAAGCCGCAAAAAATATTTATTATTGAATACTATTAGGTTGTGTTTGATTGAGGGATAAGGGGAGGACTATTTACTGTGTGAATTGTAATCCGGGGAAAACATCCAATCCGCCGTTTATTTTTTTTTTAGTCTGTCGGATATGAAATCCCGTCGGACTCCTTATCCCCCATATGGAAGACTATTGTGTCCTAGGGGGGTATGGGATAAATTTTGGGGGACTATCCACTGTTGGGATTAGGTGGTAAAATGACTGTTTTGACCCTCTACTATTTAATTATGTATTATATTTAATAAAATTCAATAAAATTTAAATGTCTCAATTTAAATATAAAATAATTTTATTTAACTTTTTATTGATGTTTTATTTATTTAATTTTTGAAAATAATTTTTTGTAGATATTTTTATTAATGTTTTATTTTAAAATTTTGTTTATATTTTATTTAATTTCATTATTTAAATTTTAATAGATGTTTTATTTAATTTCATTGTTTAATTATTATTATTTTTTTAAAAAAATTTATTTAAAATTTTAATTAAAAAAATAACATATATTTTTATTAATATTTTATTTATTTTATTTTTAAAAAATAAATTTATTTAATTGTGTAAAAAATAAAATAAAATAAAATTTTATTTAATCTAGCTAAAAATAATTAAAATATTAAAGATATGTTTAATATTGCTATTGCTTAGTAAACAATTGAAAAAGTGTAAAATAGTCTTTTGTTCATTTATCCTATCCAGTCCGTCCAACCAAACGTTGGATTCACTAAAAATAGTCATTTCCAGACATCTAATCCCATGAAAAACAAACACAGGATATATATCCAATCCAACCAAATAGTCCGGAGGATTCACAGTCCCAAGACTCAAGTCTGATAAACTATAATCCCCCCTTATCCGGCCCGTCCAATCAAACACACCCTTATTGGACATTAACATTATAGCAAAGTTGCGCTTACATCAGAAGAAGATGATTGGTTACATGTATCTTCCTCCCTTGGAAGATGTTTATGGGTAAGAAATTGTTCAAATTACAAATAAAAAATATAATTCATCATAAATTTTTGAGAGACTTATTTATAAGTCTTTTTTTAGACATTTATAGTAGGCTAAGTCCTGTGTAATTTCTTATAGAGTCTCACGTCCTATTTAGATAGGAATATATTCCACAAGATCCTACATAAACGTAACGTGACGTAACACTTACGTAAACGTAACGTAACGTGACACCTACATAAACGTAACGTAACGTGTCACGTTACGTTTCGCAAACTTAATGAGTTTTTATTTTTTTAAATTGAATGTGAAAATGTTGTTGGTTTATGTTGGTGTCACTTTACGTTTCATATAAATATGATCTATGGTAATATTCAATTTCTTATATAGGAAATTGAAGTTGCCACGGATCATAGGTGTCACGTTACGTTTATGTAGGTGTCACGTTACATTACGTTTATGTAGATATGATCTATGGCAACATTCAATTCCTAACATTCAATTTCCTATATATAGGAAATTGAATGTTGTCATAGATCATAGGTGTCACGTTACGTTTATGTAGGTGTCACGTTTCGTATAGTTGTCATGTTACGTTTATGTAGGTATCACGTTACGTTTCATTTATATAGATATGATCTATGGTAACATTCAATTTCCTATATATGATTTTACTATTATTTATGATATTAACAACTAATATTGAGGGTAAACGTGTCAATAAATTTCTCACATGAGTTATGGGAACATAAGTTTTTTAGTATAACATATATAGTATAAGTCTCCCTAATAGAACTTATAAATAATTTTTCCTAAATTGGTATCTTTAAAATTACTCTAAAAATGAAGTATAAAATATATATTTAAAATTAAAAAGTGTGAGCTATATTTAAAATGATAACCATATTTTTTTAAGTAGGAAAATTCTAAAAATAAATTACAAATAAGTGATCATTTTTATCAATATTAATAATGAAATTTTTTTACTTTTTAATGTCTTTGTAATATTTGCTTGAAGGTAATTCTCCTTTTTTTAAGAAATATATTTTTTTGGAATAACTACCATTGGTCACACTTGAGATGAGCCTTGTAGATAAAACTGTTTGGTCTTTTCCAATAATTACAACATACTCCCAACTCAAGTGGTTTACCACTGTTTTAAAACGAATAAAGTTAGCAATCATAAAAAAAAAAAAAATATCAATATTATGACAATGATAATGAAATATTATGACAATGATAATGAAATATTATTTATCTTTGAATTAGTTATATAATAAAACATCACACACTAATTAAAAAATAAAAAATCTTCATAATGTATTTCATGATATTTTTTTAATGATCCCTAATCTTATTTTTTTCATAATGTAATTTTTAATTTATTTGAGATCACATTATTCCATATTTTTTTTTTTTGTAAAAGTAAAAAAATTAGTTATATAATAAAACATCACACACTAATTAAAAAATAAAAAATTTTTATAATGCATTTCATGATATTTTTTTTATAATCTCTAATATTGTTCTTTAAAATTGCGGAACAGAAAAAAAAAAAAAATTACATAAACATGAAAGGTTGCAAGTCACCTTTGCACCTGCTCCCCCATAACATTTTATTTGTACCCCCATCACAAAATTAATTACATCTTATATATTTTTTTAATTTTTTTTCCCAGTCCTACTGTGATGTAAGTGGTCTTTTCTCTATGCACTCTGTAACATGTGCCCCTAGCAGTTTTGAAAACCCATGTAAAAATGTGGACAGAGGGATGCTGCAGCCGTGCTGTGAGGAAATGGAAAGTGTTATAGATTCTAAATTTTTTATTAAATAAATAATTAAATGTCTTATATAGATGTAAGATTCATAAAATTATAAATCCTACACTCATGTGAAACATTTGATCATTTGTTTGGTAGAAATTTGATATTCTTAGTATTATTCTTGGTAATTTACAAGTTTTTTTTTTATTATCTATTTTAAAAATACGATTCGTTTATATTATAAAATTTATTAAATATATCATTAATAAAAAAAATTAAAAAATTAAATATTTATAATCTCATAAATAATATGCTCAACAATAATTTGAATTATTAAAAAAAAAAAAAAAAAAAAACTCAGAACAGAAGCCCACAGAGGGCATAGCAGGAGGAAGGAACCTAACTCCCATGTGGTACATGAAGTTAAATCATAATCAAATGTCCTTTTACGAGGTAATATAACTTTGTTTGATTTATTTTTAAATCTTATGCAAATTAATAAAAAAAATTGAAAAAATTATTAGAAAGTTTCATGTGGGAATCAGTTATTTCAATAAGTCCTATGGATTTTTTAATACACTGATAGATCTTGTTTGTTTTGACAACTTTACCGTGAAATCCTAATTTTAGATGATTTGGTGAACGTTTCTACTCTTCCTCATTCGGGAACACCATCTTAGGAAAGTTTGATCTAAGTTTTGGATCACGTTTCTATCACTCCAATGTAACACCTAAACATAACACTCCAAAAATGTAACATTTCATTATAACACACAAAAAAATTTCTTAATATACTTTTTCTAAACATAACACTAAAAAAAATATAAAAAAAATTTCTTAGTGTATTTTCCCAAACGCAACACGCCAATATAACACACAAAAAAACTCCTTAGTGTACTTTTTCCAAACGTAACAATCCAATGTAACACACTAAAAAATTTCTTAGTATACTTTTTCCAAACATAACACTCCAACAAATGGTAACAATTAAGGAGATTATAATGACAAATAAGTTATTACACATCCAAAAAGACAATGGATTTTAAAAAAATAAATTATGAAACTAACTGAAACATAATTCCAACATATAGGATTTATCGATAACTCTCCCAAAAACATTTGGGTGGCTATACTATGCTCAAATATGTGTTTCATAATGAATAATAATTTCATTTGTAATGTATTTTTTATTATTTTTTAGTAAATTAAACGTGACAATGAATATATTACTGAAATGAACATTTCATTCCACTTTCATTTTAGACTTTAGTGAATCGAGCATTATCTTAGGTTTAATTTTATGTCACGAGTTTAAGAAGCAAAGGTACATATGAAGAGTAAATCTAAACACACAGATGATTTTTACATAAGCAAAGGTATACATGAAGAGTAAATCTAAATACATAGATGATTTTTACATAATAAATAAAGATGTAAGACAAATAGTGATGCCACACACAACCATTATCTTACATACATATGTTATTTTGTAAAAACATTACGTATTACCAAGATACAATTGGGGGTTTGAAACAAGGAGGAGGATATAATTGGGGGTTTGTAAAAATGTATGGTTTATTTTTAAAAATATAAGTTTTTTTTGGTTAAAGATGTAATAAATTGAATTAGTTATTAGATCGACTTAATTTTTTGTGTGGATAAAATATACAAAATGTTCGACAAAATGAACGATTCGAATTATCGAAACGGGATTCATGGTGAGCCCTACGGGCCAAACAGAAACCTCTAATTGGACTTGAGGGTATCCTCCTCCTTGAAACAATATGATAATAAAAATCTTACCTGTGGTATGACCCCAGCAATATTCAAAACTCCCAGAGAAAGACCTATAGGGGTTGAAACATTACAAATGTCTCAGAAGAAATCTATGACATTCCAAAAAAAAACAAAAAAAAGATGGACTGAAAAAAGAAGAGGAAGAAGTTCGAAAAGGGTTCAAAAACTTCACCTTGTCCTCCACCAAAGCTGCTACAAAAAATGGATGCCAATGAAATAGGAATGATGTAAGTTATCTGCACAACCACAAAGCAATTATTTTATTTAGATAAAAAATATTTTTATTTTATAAATTAGAGTCTGATCAATCACACCCCACCATTCTCATTATACCTTTTAAAAGGTACGGTCATAAACAGTGGCGGAGTCAGAAAATTAATTTAGAGGGGGCACTTACTAATTATAATATTTTTATAAAAATATTTCACGTAAATTTTTTATGATTGATTTCAGAAAACATAAAAATATATATATATATATATATATTATTTGTAACTAGTGTATCATGGACAATACAAAAAAAATATAGATACAAGCCTTAAAATAAATTATATAATGATAAATTATTTTTTTATACAAAATTTGATTAAAAATTCAATATAATGGTAATACCACGTCATTATTGGTATGTAACATCACCCACTAATGGTAAATAAATGCATAAAGAGTGAACCTCACATGTCAAATGTAACTAACAATCTAATAAATTTCATATATTTATAGTGAGATTATTTATACTTGCATATCACTAATAATGACATCGTCGTTACATTCAAAAATTTCATAGCTAATATGGTTTATTTATAATAGTCTCTTCATTTTCAATCAAAACAACCATTATTATTTTCATAATTTTTAAAATGTCATTGACATTTTACTCTAATAATATTTTTATAATTTTTTATTTAATTTTTTTTTTATGTTTGAAAAAAAAAAAATCCCAAAATCCAAGGAGGGCACGTGAGTCATAAAACTCGTTTTATGCATGATTTGAAATGATTATTTAAAATTTTATTTTGAAATTAAATGAAAATAACTTTAAAAAATTACAAAATGACAAGATCAAGTAAATTTTAGTTATTTTCATCCCAACTACACTAACATGATGTTTTCATGTTGTCGTTGATATTTTTATTATAAGTATTATGTAACAAATACATGTTGTAATTCAATTAATAATATTAAAGCAAATAAAATCACATATGGTTTCATATATAGGTGTGCTATTTAGGGTTGTGATATTATTTTGGACTATCTTTGAGTGATTTGCCTTTGAAAGAAGAGATTGGTACTCATATAGTCCATCAAATCCATCCATTCTAGATTTAGCAAAGGGAATGAATTATTGTGCAGTTCTGTGTGACTCCAAAAGACCATGTTTGCGATAGTCATTTGTACACCCTTGGTTGCTAGGCCATCCAAAAGACGAGCTCAACTTAGTGGAAAATATGAAATTTCAACCTTAATTGTGAAATGATAGGGGCTACCACTTGACTATGTGTTAAAAATGCTCTTTTCCTTGCCCAAAAGCATAAAAATTTTAATTATTTTACGGTAGCAATATTATTTATTATAAAGGTTAAATTAATTTTACCCCCTCTAATTTGAAACTATAGCACTTTACTCCTTATGGTTTAAATATAATTAGAAAAATCTCATGTTGTTTTGAACTAAAGTGTTACCGTTACTTTTTCCATCTAAACTACTGAAAGGTGTATCACGCAATCCACTTTTGAGAGTGGATTTAATTTTTTGAAAAAAAAGAAGTGAAATTAACACAACAAAAAAGCAAGTTTACCCTCATTTTTTTCAAACCTAAAATTATATTAATATGTTAATTAAAACAATTAAGGATTGATCTAAAATACTATAAAAGATAATTAAGAGTTGATTTAAAATATAATTAAATAAAGAATTACACTATATAACTAAGAATTTATAATTAATTTATAATTTAATTGAATTAATATAGACAGTATAATTTACGTGTATGAGATATGAAATAAAAAGAAAATAACAAAAAATTTATACGATTTGAGAGCATTATAATCATTTCACATATATAGTTAATGGTATTAAGGGATGCACTTTAGTTCAAAATCACATAAAACTTTCTATCTATATTTAAATCATAGGAGAATGAAATATTTTAACTTCAAACCACAAAAAAATAAAATGAATTTTGCACATATATACAGTGCCCTGTACAAACGGTGTAACGACTATTCCACTATTTTCAACATGGACATAGGAGCATTTTGGCAACAAGCTAAAGAAGCTAATTTTTTAATTTTTTATCTTTTTTAGTGAAAAAATCAATTTTTTGTGTAAAAAATCACTAAAAAAGTTAAAAAGTTAACTTTTTACCAATTTCTCAAAACATTTCATAATAAAAGTGATAATCTATCTTCAATCTTTTGATTGTGTACAGGATAAATTAAAGTACCCTATAATTTTTTTTTTATCACCAATAATTATTCAAAAAGTCTTTCTATTTCCTCCCTCTCATAAAACACTAAAATGTGTCCAAAACATTTTTATTAAGAGACGGATTCATACATCCAGTGTGAACTCATCTATTGGCAAATATATGAATGTGTAATATTTAAATGATTGTTACTCTTCTTATAATTACACTTTGAAATTTGTTTTTAGTTTTTAAAATTACAAATGAGACAATGTCTGATGTATATTAGAATATAAAATTTGAAGTGTGTTCATAAATAAATGGAGTACAAATAATAATTTTTAATTTAAATTTATAAAATTTGGAGACCATTTGTTTATTTATATGGCATGATTGTAATGTCTTAACCATAGTGATTAACTGTTGCATGATGAAAAATGACAAAAATATATATATATATATATATGATTAACTGTTCCAAATGAGTCAAACTGTGATGTTAAACTGCTTTTTGAAATCACTTTCAGCAATTCATGTAAATATAGAGAAATTATTCAATACTTCGGATACCACCTGTTTATATTTTAAATCAATCATTAATTAATTAGTCTTATATTATTATCTTATCTCTAACATAAATCATAGACTCTCGTATTTTTTCACTAATTAAAATCTTATAAAATAAGACGTGTCAATATTCCGAGAGTACTGAATAACCAACCGTAAATATATATGAAACAATAAAACATACCGCTTGAGCAATCCCCATAACCGCGAAGAGAGAGAGAGTTGCCGCCTTGAGACCAGCTGCGGGGGCAGTCGCACCACCACTCGCCACCGTGTGCTGCCGAGTCGTCTCTGCAACTTTAGTGATACACACCGTCATCGCCAAGCAAACCGCCAACAAAAGGTTAGCACAACCCCACACCCTGTTCCCGCCCTTGACTCCGCGCACCACCAGCATCACCGCCAGCGCCGTCACCCCCGCCACTGCCGCCATCAGCATCAGCCCCAACGACCCTGCGCTCACTCCACTACTGTACAACTTCCCCCCTACCACCCCACCATACACCTCCCTCCCCACCCAATCAGTGTCATACATCTTGAACCCAAACCATGCAGTCGAGTTCAGGCTCATCGCCAGCAATAGAAACCACATGGACCTCGGAAACTCCTTCAACGCACTCAATAATTCTCCCCAAAACGGCACCGCTTTATCCTTCTTCTCCTCCGAGAACCTCGAGATTGGATCTTCACTCACAGTGCTGAGTGCGATTATGGTTAGAATGAGTAATAGAGTGATTGAGATTAAGAAACAGGTTTTGAGATTCGCACAGTAAACATTACAGGCCTGTGTTGAGGTGAAGGGGAGGAGGCGGTGGAGCTTTGAGTACGATCCGGCGGCGTAACCGAGGACCTGGCCGACGGCGGTGAAGAAGGCGAAGAAGGAGCCGGCTTTTCGAGTTTTGCGCTGGTTGCCGTCGGAGAGGTCGGCGAGGAAGGCGCGGCAGGGGTCCATGAGGAGGTTGTTGCCAACGTCCAGGATCCAGAATCCGACTACGAAGATGGTGATGGCGCGGGGCTTGGCGGCGCCGGCATCAAGGCTGTCGCCGGAGAGGTGGCCGAGGTCGGCGGCGAAGCCGATGAGGATGACGGAGACCGCGACGAGGGCGGTGGCGGCTGCGATGAAGGGGCGGCGGCGGCCGAATTTGGAGGTGCAGCGGTCGCTGTAGAAGCCGGCGAGAGGTTGCACCACAAGGCCGGAGATGGGGCCGCAGAGCCATATGTAGGATGCCCATTTGTGTGGGATGCCTAGAAGCTGGACGTATGGTGTGAGGAGAGAGAATTGTAAAGCCCAACCGAACTGAACCCCGGCGCCTATTGAGGCCACCACCACCACCTTCCACAGCGGCGTTTGATGCGGTGGTAGTGGTGGTGGTTGGGGTAGTTGTTGTTGTTGGAGTCGGAGTTGGAGAGGCGAAGGGTGTTTACCATTTTCCATATTTGTTACTCTTTGTATACAACAAAACACTCTCAGCTCAAGTCTCTAAACTGAGCAAGGATCCTCTAGAGTGATTTTTTTTTAAAGTTTTCTAAAGTGCTACAGTGTATGGTTGAGATTTACTGGCAAGTCACATCAATTTTTCTGATGTGACTTGTCAATAAATCTCAACCATACACTGTAGCACTTTAGGAAACTTTAGGGAAATTTCACTCTAGAGGATCCTTAGTGCTCTAAACTATAGAGAGCTGATGATATGTCTCCGTGCTTTTGGACGGGCTCTTATAAAAGATTTTGAAAAAAAAAAAAAAAAAAAAAGTAATTAGGAATTATGAAATTTTTTATAAAAATGATCATAAAAGAGTTATAATTTTTGAATTATCTTGATTAGTACATAATATTTTATTTTAAATGTAATTCAAATATCACAATATTTTTATAATTATCTGCATGAAATTTTTTTATAACACCTAACATTACTGTTTAAAGTATGACAATGGAACCAATGTTGGTCTAACGACGAGGACTTGACCTAGATGGTTTTTTTTTTTTTTTTTTTTTTTTTTGAAAAAACAAATTACTGGGTCAGCAATTATTGATTGTAGCACACAACGCCAAGTTCACATACCAATTAACTATAGTCTCGTTTGGTAGAATTGTGGAAAAATGTTTATATCTCATATATTAAGGGCATGTTTGATTAGAAGGATTAAAGTATGGGATTAGAATTATTAATCCGTGGACCCAATCATCCTATGTTTGTTTTGATATTTTGGTTTAGGACTATTAATCCAATGGATAATTAATCTAACAAATTTGTAAGATTATTAGTAATGGGGTAGAAGTGGAATAGTTAATACCACACTAATTTGATAGGATTATTAATACCTCACTATTAGTATTGTGAATCAAACATGGCCTAACAGTTTATAACTTATAATTATGAACATAAGTTGATTTCTGACTTATAAATTAAACTTCTCCTATCACATTCAAAGAATAAGTTGATTTCTAACTTACAAAAAATTATAAGTTGTATTGTTAAACTAAACTAAACATATCAAAATAGATTAAATTAAATTAAAAATTAAAATAAATTAAAATTAAACTGTACCAAACAGGACGTATATTGGACCGAAGAATCGCCAAATCAATGGATGTTGTCATCGTGTGTCAGTCGGTGCTTTTTTCGAATCTTTTTGAGACAACTGTCTGCACCAGATTTAGGAAAAAAATTCAAGGATAGTTTTTCATTTGTATCTTATTATTTATATGTTTGTAATTTTTTTTCTAACACACATGTGGTTTTTCCAATCTTTTTTCATAATTTGAATGTTTATATTTTAAAGTTTATTAAGTAAATTATAAAAAAAAAATTAAATTGACCAAACATTTATAACACTATAACAAAACATATTTATTTTTTAAGAAATAAAAAATTAACATGATCTAAATAATTTATTTAAAATAATTAGAATATGACTATGGGATTACGAATTTTCAATTAACTTAATTTTTTAGATAGATGATATACTTGACAATCATACAATACAAATGGTTCGAATTAACCAAAAAAAATTGGGAGTTACAAGCCGGTCATTTGGACCGAACTTAGTTCCTATGAAGTCGTGACCCAAAAGATTTAGCATATCTTTCCATTTTACTCTTCACATTTAGGGTTGGTTTGGAGTGTACTAAAAAAGTGCACTTTTTGTCTTTTTACGAAAAGATGTGCAGAAAAGTAGAGAGGTGATGTGATGAAAAAAAGATAAAAAGATAAAAAGATGGATTATATAGTAGATGACAAACAAGGCTTAGTTCAAACAAAGAAATCACTCAACTATTTTACTCTTTCTCTCTGTCACAACTCTTCGAATCTTTCTCTCTTAACCGGCCATCGAAGACCACTTCTGACTGCCGATGACGATCATCGATCATCGACCTCTGATGACTCCTTTGGCCTTTATCTTTGATTACCGGCAACCATTACTAACCTCTAGCAACTACCTCTGAACTTTGACAATATTTTTTTGTGTAGCCATTTTTTATCTCTACCATGTCAATACCACCAATACCTTCTCAAACAAAGGTGGCAACAAGAGAAAAAAATAAGAATAAGGATGAAGAAAATGAAAGAGAGAAATGAGGAATCCTTACATTTGTAGATTAACACAAGGAATTAAAGGCAAATCTTGTAAAAAAAATTATGATTGATACATTCAGTGATAAATTTAACCACTGTCTGCTTGTTAAAAATTACAAAATCTCATCATTATCATCACAAATCAACACAAGATTCAAAGACATATTCAGTGATAAATTTATCATTAATTGTTTATTAAAAAATTACAGAAAGAAAATCTCATCATTATTGTCACAAATGAACACAAGATTTAAAGACATATTCAATGTTAAATTTATCACTGATAGACATAGTCACTAACAAATTTCTCACTGACTGTTTATTAAAAAATTATAAAAAGAAAATCTCGTCATCATCGTCACAAATCAACACAAAGATTCGAAGACATATTCAATGATAAATTTATTACTGATAGACACAATCATTGATATATTTCTCACTAACTGTTTGTTAAAAAATTACAAAAAGAAAATCATATCGTCATCATAACAAATCAACACAAGATTCAAAATGCCACAAGACCAAAAAATGTCATTAGAATAATAGTTTTGTGGCACTTTCAAATGTCACTAAACTAAGAAAATGTTGTAGTGACATATTCAATGATAAATTTATTACTGATAGACACAATCATTGATATATTTCTCACTAACTGTTTGTTAAAAAATTACAAAAAGAAAATCATATCGTCATCATAACAAATCAACACAAGATTCAAAGACATATTTTAGTAATAAATTAATCACTGATATATTAAACCCTTGTTTGCAACAGATTTGGTTTGAGAGAAATAAAGAGAGAGGGAGGAAGGGAGAGGCAAGATTTGGAGAATCAATGTTAATTATAGTCGTTTGAAGTTGATTTCATAGTAGAAACAACTAGATCAATGTAGATCTAGGACGAAGTATAGATTGGCAATGCCATAGTGTAGATTGGCAATGACGAAAGTGGTTGGTAAATAGTGGTGGTGAATCGGAGTTGGTGAAGTATAGATCGGCGATGGTAAAGTATAGATCAATGTTAATTGTCTTTTTTCTCTCTGTTTTGTCTTTTTCCTCTCTTTTCTTTTTTGGAGAAGGGGCATGCCAGCTCAGTAGAGATGCTTTAGTGGTCTATATCATTGTTGTATTTATTTATTGAAAAAAAAATTGAGAACTCTAAATTAAGAGTTCTAATAGCTCTAATTAGTGTGTGGATTTCATGTGATATGATGTTTTGCCCTTAATTTATTTTATTTTATTTTTCATATTATTAGTGCTCTTTTAAAACTCTCAAATTAAAAAGATGTATCATTTCTGTTATTATTTTTTTTTTGAACACTACGTAGATGCATTTGAAATGCAAATTTTTCGGTCACCAATCATTGTAGCACACAACACCGGAGTCCGGATCCTCGACGGCCCATTCCTGTGGCACCCCAAAATGAGGTCGTTTTGGGGCAAGATTTCAATTATAAAAAAAAAAACAGAACATGAGCAACAGAGGGAGAAGAAGAAAGAAGGGGGAAGAAGAAAGAGAGGAGAAGAAGAAAGAAAGCACCACCGTAGGCGCCAACCTTTGGCCTCCTTTCACCCACGGCGCCACCATCTCCTCACCATCGCCACAACCCACCTTCCTTTCTTGTTCTTCTTCTTCTTCCTCCTCCTTTCTCTCACTAAAATTACCAACTCAGCAACCATCTCGATCTTTTCTCCTCTTTTCTTTGCTGCTGGTGTATCGGAGGAAGTTCGTCGGTTATCCTCGTTGTCGTTTCCCCCCGATCATTCGCCGTTCACCGAACTGTTGAGTCAGATCTGTTGATACTGATTGAATTCTTAATTCGAAGTAGTTTTTTGGGTTTTTTTTACTGAATCTATATGTAAGATATGAACTATTCTCATACACTTTGCTGGATCTAATGTTTGACTGTTTTTATTGATCTAATTTTTATTAATTTCGATTTATCATCTAGGATGTTCAAGTGTTATTCTGTATATATATACACATACATCTTCGATTTTTGAACCTCATATTTTGTATTTTTTGTTTGAATGGTTATTGGTGTTCTGGGTGTTTGAAGTGTTTGTATTGTTGTTCAAAAATCTGAGATGTATGTATACATCTGGGTGTTTGAAGTGTTTGTATATATTTCTGATATTTATGTATTGAAGTGTTTGTATTTTTGTTTGTATGTAGTGTTTGTATTGTTGTTCAAAAATCTGGTTATTGATGTTCAAGTGTTTGTCTTGTTCTGGGTCTTCTCCTCTCTTTCTTCCTCGCTGCTTCTTTCTTCTTCCTCTCTTTCTCTTCTTTGATTCTGATTCTGTGTTTTTGTTTTTGTTTTTTTTGGAAATTTTGTCCCAAAATGATATCGTTTTGGGGCACCGCAGGGAACTACCGTAGGGAAACATAGTAGAGGATCCAGACTCATAACACCAAGTTCGGATCCTCGGCTGTAGCGCCTCCCTGCCCTCCTCCAAAACCACGTTTTGGATTATTATTATTTTTTATTTCTTATTTTTTCTTTATTGGACCGAAGAATCCTCATGTCGCTAAGTCGATGGATGTTGTTGTTGTCGTGTCTCAATAAGTGCTTTTTTGGAATCTTTTTGAGGGATTTAAGAAAAAAAAATTATCAATATATGGAAGAGTGTCGGTGAGAGTTGTGTCTCTAATTATTGAATTGTATCTTATCTTTCATGTATCTGTAATTTTTTTTTCAATACCCACTACAAGTAATTTTTCCAATCTTTTTCCATAATTTGAATGTTTATATTTTAAAGTTTATTGAGTAACTTATGAAAAAAATTAAATTGATCAAATATTTATAATTCTATAACAAAATATATTTATTTTTTAAGAAATAAAAAATTAACATGATCTTAATAATTTATTTAAAATAATTAAAATATGATTATAGGATTACAAAATTTTAATTAACTTAATTTTTTGTATAGA